AAGGTGAATTTTATATTATTTAATAATTAATTTTATTTATTTTTTGAAACTCATAATATTGTATGCATCAATTAATTTAATGATATGAGATCATGAATCACATCATTAGTCCCAAAATTTTCCCCAAATTTAACACATAATTTTGGAGAATGGTTATTGCTAGGCAATAAATTGTAGATGAACACACAAAATTTTCAATTATATGTTTTAAAATATTGATTTAATTTGTTTAGTTTGAGATTAAAAATTATAATAATTTTTTTAGTATTTATTGTTAGAGTGTCTCCGGACCAATTTTGTGCAATTTGAAATTAATCTCTCCCTAAAAGATCTTAAAGATATACCCCCACATTAGTTTGATGCATTCAAGAAAATTAATTTTCCTAGACATTGACCTAAAGAATTAAATTTAAAACTTGGTCAACAAGACGACATTTGCTTATTAATAAACTCAACCACAAGTTTGTAACTATTAATTAATAAATAAATAATAAAAATATTTGATATTTATTCTAGTAACTAAAAAATCTATATATATAATGCTACCCTATACATTAAATAGGGCATGCAATATATATATATATAATTGTTATTATATTATTAGTATAAATGGAAAAAAGAGAAAATTATAAATGACAATGAAAGTGGTAGATGAAGAGACATCGCTCACGTCCTATTAGTAATAGTATCTTTATAATATGAACAACTCACATCCTAGTAGTTGTAATAGTGGTATCTTTATCATATCACATGTCTCATCTTTATCAAATGACAAAAATTAGTGGCTCTGAAATCACTCACGTCCAACTTCTTCCGTGCCCGTAAAAGTGGCTATCATTGTACAGTTACTTGCAGGAAATAAGGGATATATCTTTATCATATCACATGTTTCATCTTTCTGAGATTTTTATATGTTTGTTAGGAATTTTGTGTTTGAAATTTCTCAAGAATTGTACAGCTACCGCTGTCTATTTCATTCTTTTCCCTCAAACAACACATGTCATGATTATGAACAAAAATTAGTGGGTCTGAAATGACTCACGTCCTTCCCATATTTCTCATCAATAATTTCACCACATTCTTTTGATACAAGAAATCAACATCCAGCCGAATACAAACATTTTTCCGCCATCGAAGTTCCTTGAAAGCTGTGCTTGAACTTGTTGAGCCTGCATGCGCCACCAGCCCAAATTAGCACATAGAAGCATGAGGTAATTAACCACTAGTAAATCTTATGGTAAATTGGTAGTTAATGATTAATTATATATATATATATCAAACTATATATGCTTACTCCAAACTCTATCAACTTTGTCAAACACATTTTCTATGGGCAATTTTTGTTGAACACTGGATGAATAAGATTAGCATAAAAGATGGGATTTGAATTATATATTACCACATGAAATTCAATAACAATGTTGGCCGAAGCAGACGAAACTTCAGGGAAAACAGTACAGAGGTCATGCATTCATCGTGGTCAATATCCTTCTCAAAAGCTGTTAAAAAAAAAATCCTCCCCAAAATGTTTTTTTTTTTTATATACATAAAAGAAGATATACTCATATATTAACTTGCAAAGCTATTAACATAAAACTAAAGTTTTCAATCTTGTACTGGCATGCGTATCAATTTTCTTCTTAGAATGTTACATATTAGATATAAAAAAAATATCATATATTGTTTTACATTTATTGTTATGAAACATATTTTTATATGAAATTATATATAAACTAAAGCACATTATAAACTTGGACTTCATTTTATTTTTAAATTTTAAATTGTAAACTAGAGTCCATTAATTTTGGATTTCAATTTATTTCTAACTTTTAAGTAAGAAGTGCTTTATATAATAGATAAACTCAACAAAAGTTGGAAAAAACAATCATTTTGTTATTTGGAAACAAATAGTTAATAACTAATAGTTGATAATCAATAATTGATAATTAATAATCTTGCAATTTATGATAAATAAATAAATAATATCGCATTTTCTTCTTCACTTCATCAAATAAGGAAATAGAAACAA